GTTACATAGTGACTCAGTTAGTTATTTTGTTACATAGTGACTCAGTTAGTTATTTTGTTACATAGTGACCCAGTTAGTTATTTTGTTACATAGTGACTCAGTTATTTTGTTACATAGTGACTCAGTTAGTTATTTTGTTACATGGTGACTCAGTTAGTTATTTTGTTACATGGTGACTCTTAGTTATTTTGTTACATGGTGACTCAGTTAGTTATTTTGTTACATGGTGACTCAGTTAGTTATTTTGTTACATGGTGACTCTTAGTTATTTTGTTACATAGTGACTCAGTTAGTTATTTTGTTACATAGTGACTCAGTTAGTTATTTTGTTACATAGTGACTCAGTTAGTTATTTTGTTACATGGTGACTCAGTTAGTTATTTTGTTACATGGTGACTCTTAGTTATTTTGTTACATGGTGACTCAGTCACTTAGATACATGATGACTCAGTCTTTTGTTTACCCTATTAAGGGGGCGTGACAAAAAGCAATCGCCGTCATGTGCTTTTGGGTTATATACGAACAAAAGAAAGGGAAAGGTCCTCTACAGGACCAAAGGGTCCTGCTGCAGTGGTTCTCCACAGGACCAAAGGGTCCTGCTGCAGTGGTTCTCCACAGGACCAAAGGGTCCTGCTGCAGTGGTTCTCCACAGGACTAAAGGGTCCTGCTGCAGTGGTTCTCCACAGGACCAAAGGGTCCTGCTGCGGTGGTTCTCCACAGGACCTGAACCCCTGTCTTAATACTGCTGTACTTGATAATCTGAGTGATAACACTGAATAACAAAATTTAAGTGTAAAAAATATACATATATCTTTTAAGGTTGTTTTACAATGTCAACTCTGTAGGATTAAAAATATGAAAACAGTTTTTAGTTAGTACATCTCATTTTCTTTATTGTAATACAGTTTTATAAACTAATATAAAGACGGTGTTCCATCGTGGTCATACAGAACTCTAGTATAAACTAACATGAAATAAGAGAAATTTAATATATCGAAGTTGCATATAATAATATGGGCAAAGATATGTCCATAGAGAGGTGCATATCTCTCAGTACACATACGCTGAGAGTATGTTTGTAATCCCAATTTCAAGTACTGCAGTATTCTAGACTGGTAGTGAATGGGTTGCGTGTATTTGATAAAAGCGCATACATATATATATATATATATATATATATATATATATATATATATATATATATATATATATATATATTATATATATATATATATATATATATATATATATATATATATATATATATATATATATATATATATATATATATATATATATATATATATATATTTCACCCAGAATAACCCAGATAATAAAACTTGCGATTTTGGCTTTAATAGTAACACTCTTTTTGAATAAAGCAAGCGAAAATTTGTGTATGCAATAATTTCGCAAAAATCATTCTGAACCTAACGAAAAAATATATATTTCATTGTGTTTCTTTATGATTAAATTATTGTAAAGTTATCCAAAAATACATTTAGTTGGATTAGGCTAAATTAAATTGCGCTTGTTAATAATAACGTTAGGTAAGTTTTCTAAGGTTCTTTTGGTAAAATTTTATCAATTTTTACATTAACATAAATGGAAAAAAAATCTTTAAACATATAAGAGAATTTTTTTAGAAAGGACTTAATTTTAAATGAGTTCTTGCTTACTGACCGGTTTTACCTAATATATATATATATATATATATATATATATATATATATATATATATATATATATATATATATATATATATATATATATATATATATATATATATATATATATATATATATATATATATATATATATACCTAATGTATATTAATATATATTTTTACTGTTATTATAGTGTTTTATTAGATGTGTTTAGTTAGATAGGGTCACCATCAAACTGCAGCCGGCTTTCCTGGGTGGTTGTATCGTGTCGTTGTCTCCAGCTTGCACCACTAAGTAGCTTGGATTTTAATTGGGTGTTAAGTCGCTCAAACCAGGTTCTGGCTGGTAAACAGCACGTTCGAAAGTGAGAATGTACCTAACTGAGCGAGTCATTCTTGATCTTTGTTGCTACATCGTCTGGGTGAGAGTCGGCGTCGGCTCCCTGTCCTTCATGTATACCTCGGCTTTTGCTGAGTCCTAACGTCTGCCTAGAGGTTCATGGGGATTCCTTATCCTTCGACGTCCTTCATTATGCAGTTATGATAGTTCTTAGCGTTCGAGTGAAGTGTGTACGACCTGAGAGAAGGATGAGTGAGGAGACGTCTGCTGGAGTGCCAGCAGACGGTGGTGGCAGATTAGTGAGATAAATATTCTGTTTTGTTCTTCCATAAGATAGATAAGATAAGATAAGATAAGATTTCGTTCGGATTTTTAACCCCGGAGGGTTAGCCACCCAGGATAACCCAAGAAAGTCAGTGCGTCATCGAGGACTGTCTAACTTATTTCCATTGGGGTCCTTAATCTTGTCCCCCAGGATGCGACCCACACCAGTCGACTAACACCCAGGTACCTATTTGCTGCTAGGTGAACAGGACAACAGGTGTAAGGAAACGTGTCGAAATGTTTCCACCCGCCGGGAATCGAACCCGGGTCCTCCGTGTGTGAAGCGGGAGCTTTAGCCACCAGGCC